CATTCTTGAAATCTCAGCTAGAATTCATCATTTACCATTTTTTTGGAAATTCTTCATCATCTTCATCATAGCATTTTCCTAATTAATTGGGGTAGGCATTTTTTCTTGAAATTACTATCATTAATTTCTTAATGGAGGGTGAATTTTGCCTGCTTATTTGTTGGAATTATCAATTAGTATCATTAGTTGAAAATCATACATGAGCGCATTCATTATATTTTTCCTTATGTTTTGGATTACATTTTATTGTGTGGGATCATTTGTGTTCTTATGTACTCAGTTGTGAATGAAATAGACACATTACTCATTGCAACCAATGAATTCAATGCTTTTGCACTATGCCAATTTGTATGAAGTTAAATCTCATTTTAGCTTTCCCCAATGATTTTAACTAGTAATTACAAGGAAAATAATTGGTTTTTAATTTTCAGCATTGAGACGATACCTAAAGCCATCTCCGATATGGCCATTCAATCTTGTAATAATAATAATGGGAGCCATGATCTTTTCTCCAAATGAGTTCCTTCTAAAATGATTGAAAAGAGTTTTGGTGCATTATTTTTCGCCCCCTTTTTAATGGCAAAAGAAATTCTCACTTTGTTGACAAAATTATTTCAAACTATCTTCTAAAAAATCTCTTTGGGCGCTTTTTTTTTGCCCGAAGTTGCCCAGAAAAAAGATTAAAACTATTATACAATTGTTCCAATATATTTTTCCTTTCCTTTTTTCTTTTTCTCAAATTTCATTTTTTTTAAGAGAAATGATCCTATAGGACCTCCCCCATCCATGTGTGTAGGACCCAAAGGATCACCATTAAATTTGGCACTGATCTATAGAAAAGTCAAGTCCCATACCCATGTGATAAATTTTCTAGAGAACCATGCCAACTTTAATGGTGATCATTTGAGGTCCTACACACATGGGTGGGGGAGGGTCCTATAAGATCATTACTCTTTTTTAAAATTTTTACTTTTCTGCTCCTTTTTTTTGGGTTGATCAATGTTAGGGTTCGAAAACATTTGCTATCAAAAATTTTAATAAATCAAGCCTGAGCTTTAATCCTTACAAAAGGACCAGAAATAATATTTAAGTAAGTTCTTACAAAGGCTACAAAATGATGGCAAGAAACAGTTGAAAGATAAACCCTAGGCTCGTATATAATGTTTACTTGATTAAATTTGAGTGAAGAAATGTATTCTTAATGCAAGATAAAGTTTTCTTGATAAAGTCCTGTTATCAGTCTATAGCCCAGGGGATCAAGAAAATCCTTTTATTATCCTTTTAAGAAATTCTTTTATAATGACATAATTCTTGCCCTAACAAATACATGGGCAATATAGTAATTTAGGGACTTCTTCCTTCTCGAAGGAGAATTTATCCTTTTATGAACATGCAAATATAGAAACTTGTATTTTTATTTATTTTTTATTCATCTCAATCTGGTTTAAGTTAACCGACTTTGTAGATAATCATACTTATCATTAAGAAAATTTGTCAATCCTAAGATAAATGGAATTCAATGCATAATAACTCCCCCAAAGCTCATCTAAATATATAACTATACCCCTTCCCCCTAAACTAATCAAGCAATACTAATTCCTCAAGATCACATTACTAGTCCCCCAAGATCACATTACTAGCCGACTATACCCTCTTCTCTTCTCTTATGTTTCTGTGGCATCAACATGAAGGTATTCGAGGTGACCCTCATCTTGGCCCAGCTGCTTCGACTTCAACCACCAAAAAAGCCGATTAGCCAAAAGCCCTCTAAGTTCTAAATCTGTGGTACTTTGGATCACCCCACTAGAGAAGCACCAACAAATACAATACAAGTCGTGGGTTGTCGACACCGAAGGTGGAACCGATCTCATTTGAAAACAAAAATTCGCCTTCAATGTAGGTGATAGCTTCCTCTTCAATGCTACCTCTCGAGACAATGAAGAGGAAAGTACCTCCTCAGTTGCCATCAAAATTTACCGAAAGTATCCTCACTCCTTCTCAGATAAGCTTTTGAGCTCGGCACGGATTCATCTTAGTGACTTGATTGGATACAGTGATTGGGGCTTTGCGTCGTTTTTTCTTGATTGCCCTTTGAGTCGAATTCAGTGCCAGGTTAATGTAAGCGTGGTCTTTTGGTTCCATCTTGTGCTCAAAGGCTACGTTGGTGAAGAGACAAGTTAAGGAGGGTGGTTCATTGGTGAGAGATGACAAAGAGAAAGGCTTGATGATGATGGTTTAAAAGAGAGAGGAGAAAATGAGGAATCATGGAGTTATAGCAACAAAGTCTTGCCAAGGACTTCTATGTTTTCTCATTAAATCGAATTTATCTGTAAAAACTTTCATATGTGGATTACACATTCTTGATGTTTTGGATTATATTATTCATGGTCTATTTGACCATGTGGATGTGCAGGGAATGATATGATTTACTATTGTATTCCATTCCTGTTTCTTTTCTTATGTGGGATTATTTGTGTTCTTATTTACTCAGTTTTCTGAATGAAATAGACACATTTGTCAATGCACCCGATGAATTCAATATTTTTGTACGATACCGATTTGTATTAAGTTACATCTCATTTTAGTTTTCCTTAAAGATTTTAAAATAGTAGAAGTTTCGATATATTTATCCTTTCCTTTTTCTGCTTTTAACAATTTTAATTTTTTTTTTGAATTTTTATTTTTATGCAATCTTTTTTATTGGGTTGATCAACGTTAAGGTTTGAACATAGGATGTAGATTTGCGATCAAATTTTTTAATAAATCAAGCCCAAGCTTGAATCCTTACCAAATGAACAGAAATAATGTTTTTAGTGAGTTTTTACAAAGGCTACAAAATGATGGCAACAAAATAATAGCAAGAAGCAGTTGAAAGAGAAACCATAGATTTCTTGAGTATACTCTCAACCGAATGGGTTTTCATGAATTTTGAAAGTAAGCCTTGTATGTAATATTTTCTTGATTAAATTTGATTGAAGAAAATATTTTCTTAATGCAAGATTATGTTTTCTCGATACAGTTCAGTTGTCAATCTATAGGCCAAGGGATCTTTAAGAAACTCTTTTATAATGGCAAGATTAATACATGGGCAATATAATAATTTAGGGACTTCTTCCCTCTTAAGGAATTATCGTTTCATGAACACACGCAAATATAGTGACTAGTGTTCTTCTTGATCTCAATCAGTTAAATTGACTTCGTAGATAATCAACATTCAGTAATAACTCCCCCAATGATGAAATGCAACGGTTGTATCATAATATAATGCAACGACACTTTTAGAAAACCATGTTTGCGGTATTTGTATAACCCCAAATTTTGCACACACACTCTCTTCATCTTAATAATCAATTCTAAAATAAAAAATAAAAAGGTTAAAATGAGTCATCTCCATAAACGAATCTAGACCATTCATTTTGTGAATTTCAAGATCTTAGCCTTTATGAACTCAAAATCATTTTTTTTCTTTTTTAACATTGTTTATCTAATGATAATAAAGCCATCCAAAAAAATTGGAAATGAAAAAAATCTTTCTAAGGCCTATATCTAAGCATCTCACCAAAATAAAAGGCCTATGCTAATTGGGCTAAAAAAATACTTTTTAGGTTGTGTTTTCAATTTTTTCTTTTTTTGCGATTGTTTGTTAGAATGAAAAGAGTACATATTTCAAAATTTGGATCAAACAAATGGCCATAAGATGGTTTTATTAACCTTGTTGCATCATATTACCATACAACGGTTGCATGATATCATTGCTCATATCTATAGAGCAACGATACAATGCAACGGTAATGCAACGACACTTCTAGAAAACCATGTTTGCGGTATTTGTATGGCGCCAAATTTTGCACACACACTCTCTTCATCTCAATAATCAATCCCCCCCAAAAAAAAGTTACATTTGAAACCTAGATATGGTCAAAGTGAGTCATCTCCAAAAACGAATTTAGACCATTCATTTTGTAAATTTCAAGATCTTAGCCTTGATAAACTAAAAATCATTTTTTTCTTTTTTAACATTGTTCATCTAATGATAATAAAGCCATCCAAAAAAATTGGAAATGAAATCTTTGTAAGGCGTAGATCTAAGAATCTCACCAAAATGAATGACCTATGTTAATTGGGCTAAAAAAATACTTCTTAGGCTGTGTTATCAATTTTTTCTTTTTTTGTGTTTGTTCATTAGAATGAAAAGAGTGTATATTTCAAAATTTGGATCAAACAAATGGCCATAAGATGGTTTTTTAATCTTGTTGCATCATATTACTATACAACAGTAGCATGAGATCATTGCTCATATCTATATACATCCCCTTATAAAGTGGGCACCTTATATACACCTTACCTAAAATAAGAAGAAGACATTTTCTAAAAAAACAAAAACAATCTTTAATCACCTCGCAAAATAAGTTTTCCAGAAGAATGTAGCACTTCAATCTCCTAATCTTATCTTGATTATAGTGACTCTACTATTGATGCAGAGAGAAAAAAAAAAAAAAATTGTTATTAATTTTGGAGCTTATTTATTTAGGAATAATATAATGCTGGGGATGAGTTTATCTTATGGTTTGAATCTACCACATTTCTTGATACTAGTTGAGGGTAAGTTGTAATTTGTTTGTTTAGAGCCTAGGCTCTATTCGAACTTCATCCCCGAATTTTACAAAAAAGTTGTCAAGTCCACATATATAGAATACGGGCCTATTAATAAATCTATTTTTGAGAAGGATTTTTGGACTTAATTTTTAAAGACATGTAATCTCTAACATGGAGATCATTAATATGAATAAATATATAAATTTTTAAAAACTAAAATTATAATTTTAGTAAAAAAATATTTGAACTGTTAATTTCTATTATTTTTAGATGGAACATCTACTTACATCCATATTTAAGATGGAAGCTTTACATTTTATGGACCGGATGGATGCTTTACACTTTATGGATCGCATATGTAGAAATACGGTCCACCCGTACGAGAAAACCCCCTTTGTCAGTAAATATCACTGAGGGCGCGTGGGAGAGTGAAGAGAGAGATGAGTAGGGAGGTGCCGAGGAGAGAGAGTCCTTGGGGCGTATCCGGAGGCCCCCACCGGGAGCCCAAAGCACACAGATGCAACGATCGAGCTGAAGACGTCATTCATGTCTCTCTTTCTCTTCCTTGCATGAAACCCCTGTTTATCACTCTTCTTCCCCAATCTTATATCTGCTGCTTTTTCTCTTTTTCATCGTCCTATCTAGTCATTTTTTGTCACATGGTTTCCTATTGCGATCCCTAAATTTATGTTATTGACTCATTGTGATGAATTTTACCGTTTATGTATGTTGATTTTCTTGGGAAAAAATTTCAGGCGTGTTTTGAGGGGAATCCATTCAAGACAGTTCCAGGGCCTATTAAGCTCTTTTGGCGATGTATGCGCTCAAAACCGGGGTAATTTGTCATCATTTAATTCGATTTCTTATTTTTTTCCTCCCTGTATTTTCTCAAGTGGTTATGGTTTTATTGTATGATTATTGCTTTCAAATGATGGAAGAGGTAGCTGTAATGTTTCTTTCATTTCTATTCTTTACTTTCTTCTTTTCTTTACTGATTTCTGGGTCAATTTGTTATCTTTGAAGGCATGCAAACTTAATTTGTATTTCATTTTTTGGTTGGATGTTTCATATGGTCTCAAGTTTTGTGTAATTGATAACATAACTCGAGCTTTCTGAAACGCTTGATTTGGAACCCCATCAGATCATTTCTTACCCATGAGAAAGACAGATAAAATGGTTTTATACTGGCAAAACTGTAATTTCTTTTAATACATTTTGGGGTAATTTATTTTACTTGACTAATAAAGTTAGTATATTTGATGAATAGCTATGGGTGTAAAACGCTCATAACTAGGTATGATTCCTATGGGTAATTTTGTTAGAAAACGCCCCTATATTTGCTTGCATTGCAGAATTCACTAAGAATTTTAACTGTACTTTTCTTTATTCAAATTTGATCTGCAGATCAATCATCATCAATTTGTGTGAGTTTACTCTGAGGAATACTTGTCATTTGGCTCTTTAATCAAGTTCTAAGGGAGCCCAAACTGTAAACTGAGGAAACTCAGTCATGATTGATTCTTCTATTGAATAATTGGTTGGCATCAAACTCAAATGACTCTTGCAACACATAGCTCCCTTAGATTTGGCCATACTAAATTGCATAAATTGGATAGGCTATCGTGGGATCAGGATGTTTATTAACTTTGTAGGAATGCAGCTTAGAAGTTCTGCGACATATGATAACCCCTGCATGGCCAAAAAAATGTGATAACCCCTTGCGATGGGAGCGGATTTGGAATATTCTGTGTAGCTTATAGCAAGTTTATCTGATTGATATGTTCTAGTTAATAGTTTCATAATGATGTTCAGGTGTTGTTTACGCTGAAATCCTCTTGTGGATCGTATCTATAGAATTGTCTTTGTACATGTTTGAGAGCTCTTTCTGGCTCCAATTCGGGTTATACATCTTTGCTCTCCCTCTGATAGATAAAAGAGACGAAAGCTGTTGTTGGCAAGAACCAAAGCTACTTAACCTGCATTTATCCATGTCAATGGCTTGTCTAATTGGAGTAATAAAAAAAAAAGCATTAAACATACTTAATGGGAATGTAGGAAATTCTCTCAAAATTTATTTTCCTATGTAACTTTTCATGGATTAAGAACATAATGTTAAAATTTTTCATGAAAATTGATAGATTAACAGGACCCAGTAAGCTATGTGTTAGCATCCAATATGTATGCATCAGGAGAGAGATGGGATGATGTCACAAAAACCAGGGCCATGATGAGGGGAACCAAGTAAAGAAGGAGCCTGGTTGCAGCTGCGTAGTGACGAAAGATGGCATCCACGTATTCATATTAGGTGACTTGTCACATCCCAATATTGATGAAATCTATGCAAAACTAAAAATGCTTATTAGACAGATGAGGGCCGCTGGCTATGTACCCAAGACCAATTTGCAGTATACGATCTTGAAATGGAGAACAAGGAAGAGCTGCTAAGCTATCACATCGAGAAGTTGGCGATTGCTTTTGTTCTTACTCGTTCTTCGGGAAAGATTATCAGAATCATAAAAAACCTTCGAGTTTGTGGTGATTGCCACGAGGAACTTAAATACATATCAGAGAATGTAGGGAGGCAAATTGTCTTAGGGGATTCTAATCGCTTCCATCATTTTGAGGATGGGAAGTGTTCATGTAGGGATTATTGGTGATAGAAGATTGTAATGTAACTCAGGATTACTTCTTTGGAGATACATACCATTTGGGGTGGTACATAAATTGTGCACCAACCAGGCATCCACCACCCATCATCGATATAAATCCAATAAAACACAAATCAGCAGATCCTAGAAGCCATAGGAGGGTACTTCCACTCCCAATCTTATGCCAATCCCTATCCAATATTTGCTATACCCCACGTTTCCTGAACTGGTGTTAATTCTTATTGTTCAAGACTCTGATCAGAGGGGTAGATTTGGGGGTGGAGTGGTTAAGCCTACCACCAACGCATATACCTCGAGGAAACTTTTCTCAAATCAAGAAATCTAAGTTTCGCTTCGGTCTGCAAGTGAATTGACGGAAGTCTTCCTTGCAAGGTCGAACAATTAGACATTGATCAAGGGTTGCTTTGAGTTCATCCGTTGCGATAGTGCAAGAAGCTCCACAATAAAACAGTATCATTCGTGATTGTATATTTCCAGTTTCTTATGGAACCGGGGGGCAAAAAACAATCACATACTTTCGAAATCCTCCTCCAAAGTCCAAAAGAGGCGGTGCGATTGGTTTTTGCCCTATCCTCGTGCAGCAAACGACGCAAGAGATGGAAGATCTAAAAAAAAAGATTTTGCAAGAATGCAAGATGGGCACATCTTCAGTTTAGAAACTTTCTGTTTCTTTAGCTGATGTCTACTTTTATGACTACTGTGATACATGGATAACCCCAGACTTACCCTGCAGTTCGACCCTGTAAAATCTGAAACCCTAGTCTCAAAAATTGCAATAGAGGAAGTAATCCAGATTCAAATTTCAATGATGTTATATGAGTGATTTGAACCGAGATTTTCTACATACATATATGAACTAGGCAATAAAAGAATAAAATTGATGGGAAATAAAAACTGTGGAAATGAAGAAAATGGACCAAAATATGAAATATTTTTGGTTTGTTGATAGTGTACCATTCGCTGCACACTAAATACCAAACATCATCTGGTCACCTCACAAATCCATGCTGGAAAAGTTCAAACTATCGCCTGAAGTTAGGATACTTTGTCATCTTTAGAAATCCAGGGTCACTTACTAGATAGTCCCAAGTGCAGCACAGGTTTATTTGACCATCTTGAAAAGCAGCAATAGACAGCTTAATACCTCAAAATATCATATCAGCGAGAAATAAAAAAACTACCTACTAGACAACTAATGTTCTGACTATTCTGATAAAAATGGATGCACGCATGCTATTAAAGTACAACTGCAGAAAAAGGCTGACTCTGTCATCCAATGTCTGGAGGCTACAAATCTCACATTTGATTTCCTACGAGAAAGTTCACTATGAACTTGTTGTTTACATGCAACATGATAAAAATGTATATACAAAACCAGTTTTTGACATCCATATATAGAACTCTACTAACTGCACAATCACCTATGGTGGTCCTTTTTTGTTTTTTTTGATAGTTCAAGTGATACTAAATAATTATACAGCAACACAAATGGGAAAAGGCTATAACTAATCAGCAAACAGACATGCCTAGTGCTCTAACTTCAACATGCTTCTTCCCTTGTGAATCTTGTGGGTGCACAGTGACAGTGGCGTGCGCCTCTTCTCTTGAGTGGTCATTTCCAACATGGCCGACAGAAACTGAAGCATGAATACTTGTTTCATTTGCTGCATACTTTGAATTTCATCGTCTCCTGAATTAAACTCCCGATCTTCTTTAACAGCAGTAATTTGTAATCCATCTTTGTCGAGCTTGTACTCGGTAGATGTGGGCAAGATCACTTAATCATTTATAGGGTTGTAATAAGGGTCTGGATACCCTATCTTCAGATAATGCTTGATAATTCGGAACACGTGAGGGTCATATACCAGTCCTCTGTGATCACCAGGAACAGCTATCCTGGCCTCTGCCTTCAGCCCATCTGCCTGCATAAGGTAGTGCCAGAGCAAGTCAGATTCTGTCGTTTCTCGCCAAGTACTAGATTATATGATAAATTAGTAAGCATGGAAACTCACTACAACCACCGTAACAGAAATTAATTGACCGATGAATATACTCAGCCACAAATTATCTATTACTACAGGAAAACTAATGAAAGTTATCTTAAAAGCGTCATTTCAACCATTCACTAAAGTGATCTCATGTCCCAACTATTGTAATGGGAAAGCATACCATAATCCTGGAGAGTGTAGAAAACCTAGAGCCCATAGTCATCCCCATCCATTGAAATAGACAGTGATGGAAGGAGAGAGGGAACCACAAATACATGATATGATCCCATCGAAGCTCTCTCCAACACCATCCATTTCATCGGATGGTGATGGCCCTAAGTACAATGGATTCTTATTGAGCTTCATATTTTATAGACTGCATTCCTGTCTGAAATCGTGTCCACGAATTTCATCAATTACATAACGGCCAAGTACTTTAGGTATAGTTCCCATCAATGGTCTATTTACTTACAACAATAGTACAACGTGCTAAACATACCATGGCTGATTCCAGCGGCACTGTTCCATCACCATCAACACTGATATAGTCTTGTTGCAAATAGCAATGAATCCATTGACGTGTGAGTGGGTTGTGAAAATATGATGTTTGAGCAATAAGTAAATTTGATAAACTTATGGTAACATTAGCAAATGTTAACACTTATCTTTGCACATCCTTGATGTAACTTTGAAAAGAAAAAGAAATTTTAAATCTCATGTGTGATCCTCTCCAAAGCTAGGTTAAGTCCCCAACTCATTGGTGAGCAACTTTTAGACTTAGGAGCTCCCCAGGTATGTATCTCATTTTCAAATTCTTCAAAAAGCAAAAGAATCTTTTACTTAACAAGTCAACTTAAGACTCAGATGTTCAGCTAAATAACACTCATGCCATCATTTGGTGAGACTACTTTACTTTACCAGCACTCACGTGATTGAAACCACTGCACCTTACTATCCATGGACCAGATAAAGTTCATTGCACAAAGCATGAACTTTTGGTATCACTTGGACTAGGAACAATGTTCCTAGTTCTATTCAGATGATGCATATGATGAGACTTGTCCTATTGATATTCCTTCTGATGATGATGATGATGATGATGATGATGATGACTGAAGACTCTTGCCTCTTGGTGCTGACTGTTGAGTCTGTTGATTGTTGTGTTGAGTCATGAGTGT